ACACGATGTCCACCCAAGTGTGGAGAGAGACGTTTGTGAAAAATAATCAGGGTGGATTAGTCGGGTTTTAAAACCACCAGTTCCTGACACAAGGGGACAAAATCCGCCATAATCATCCCCCCAAAAACAGTGCCACTTTCGGGGGCCCTCACACTGTGGTGTGTTCCTTTTTTTGCATAGGGTGCTGGCAGATTACGGGGCCTCCCATGCTGCTGCCGGGCCCCCTAACGCCCGGGGGCCCCATCCCCGCCCCCTCATGCTGCTGCCAAGTCCGGTTCTAGGGGCCCCTGTACGGCCTCCTTTTGCTGCTGTTCCATCCCCACACTCTGCCATGTCCCTTTTTCAGGTCTCCTACATGCGGTGTTTTCCCCTTTTTTTTGTCATGGGGTGGGCAGATTAGGGGCCTCCCATGCTGCTCCCCGGCCCCTAATCTGCCAGGGGCCCCCCTATACCGCCCCCTCATGCTGCTGCCAGGTCCAAGGGGTGTCAGGGGGCCCTGTAGGGCCTCCCTTGCTGCTGTCCCCATCGCCACACTCTCCCATGTCCCACTTCAGGTCCCCTCACACTGTGGTGGGTTCCTTTTTTTGAAAAGGGTCTGGCAGATTACAGGCCCCCCATAGCTCTGCCGGGCCCCTAATTGCCATGGGCCCCCTTTACCGCTCCCATGCTGTCCCGGGCCCCGTAATCTTCGGGCCCTGTTGTCGCTTTTTGGGATATTCCGCCGTTAACCCCTTCCCCTGTACTCTCTTCACGGATTCCGTCAGCAGTCTTTCTGGAATCCTTTTTCCAAAGACAACAGTTTGCGGAGCCGCACCAGGACGGTGCAGAACTGAACGTCCTCGGTCCAAGTTGCTGCTTGCCAGGCTTGTAATTCTGTATTGCGCCCCTGTACCGCCTCCTCATGCTGCTGACCAGGTCCTGAGGTGTGTCATGGGCCCCCGTACCGACTCCTCTCAAATTGCTTGGTGCTGCCAGGCGTAATTCTGTCATGGGCCCTGCTACCGCACACTTCGCATGCTGCTGCCAGGTCCTAGAATTGGGTCATGGGTCTCATGTACGGGCTCTCCCATTGCTTGCTGCCAGGCCTGTTAATCTGCCCATGGGCAACCCCTATCCGAAGCCTCATGACTGCCTGCCTGGCCGTGTATTGGCATGGGCCCCTGTACGCGCCTTCCTCATGCTGCTGACCCAGCGTCCAGAGTGTGGTCATGGGTCCCTGTACGGGCCTCCCATTGCTGCTGTCTCTATCGCCACACTCTGCCAGTTTTTTTTTGTGCCACTTTCAGGTCTCCCTCACACTGCGGTGGTTTCCATTTTTGGTCATAAAGGTGCTGTATGGCCCTCCCATTGCTGCTGCCTCCACCGCCACACTGTGGTCCCACACTCTGGTTTTGGCCCCGTGGAATTGGCCAATATGACGTGAAGTGTGCGGTGATTTCTAAGATCGACGGCCACTCATCTTGCATGGTCATTACTGACTGTCAGTATTATTTCTCTTCCCAGCTTGGACTCCAAGGGCATTTAAATTAAGAAGGATACAGTGGTTCTAGCACTTAATATTACAGTCTCTTGAAAGCCTAGAAAACACCATTTTTTAAGTTAAAATATACCACAGCGAATATATTCGACTCGAAATCGAAAATTTTTCTGACGACATTCGCCGTATCCGAATCGATATTTTTGAGCTACTTTCGCTCATCTCTTAATTAGTCATCCATCGCTGGGATCCACCACCATTATAACACACATCATCATTCATCCATCGCTGGGATCACCACCATTATATCACACATGTTCATCATCCATCGCTGGGATCACCACCATTATATCACACATCGTCATCATCCATCGCTGGGATCACCACCATTATATCACACATCGTCATCATCCATCGCTGGGATCACCACCATTATCTGTCACATCCACACATCATCATCATCCATCGCTGGGATCACCACCCATTATATCACACATCGTCATCCATCGCTGGATCACCACCATTATATCACACAGGAACGATCTCTATCATTAATTTTGGATCGGATGAAGTCTGCGGGTGGGAGGTCATTATTTGTGGGTGTGGCGGTCAGAAGTTGTGGGCGGGGTGGTGTAGTCGGGGATCTCAGGCGGTGTGGGGGTGGCGGTCAGAAGCTGTGGGTGGGGCGTTGTAGTCAGGTCAGGCTTTGTGGGTGGGGCGGTTAGGAGGTGTGGGACGGAGAGGTCTGTTTTTGTAGGCGGGGCTGTGGCCGTCAGGGTTGCCTTCCTCTCGCGCAAGCAGTGCCCTGTGTCGGGGTCGCGCGCTTTCAGTGAGGTTCCCGAGAACGCGCTGGATTAAAGAGGAGGCGCGCACTGCGTCTGCCAGTCAAGAGCCGGTTGTCGAGGACGAGCCCGTCTTACGTGCCTGTACGTAGAGAGCGCTGAAGCCAGCCGGTAAGTAGAGCAACATGGCGGCGTGTGACCCAGGGAAGCGGCCACGGGAGTGGGTGGTCATAGAAACTTTCTATCCCGGGCTCCACACACCCGGGAGGGGGAGGAGAGGAAACTGACCCTCCAGGGGGTCATAGTCGTGTGTCCGGTCTGTCCTGAGGACGTCTCTCCATGTCGGGCCTAGTGATAGGGCCTGAGTGTCGGGACAGTGACTGCTTCATGTCTTTGCTAAAGAAAAAAAACCCAATAAGTTTAAATAATTTGGTTTATGTGACAGTTATATAGCGTCTACAAATGGCAGTATACAGGTGAAACTCGACAAAACTCAACAATGAGAATCTGGTGCAAAAGTTCATTTATTTCAGTGCAGCAACTTAAAAGGTGAAACTACCGTTTTTTTCCGGCGTTATAAGACGACCCCCTCTAGCAATGATGCACACCAGTGGGAGGAATAGTGCCCCATCATTGGTGTCAGTGGGAGGAAATAGTGCCCCATCATTGGTATCAGTGGGAGGAATAGTGCCCCCATCATTGGTATCAGTGGGAGGAATAGTGCCCCATCATTGGTGTCAGTGGGAGGAATAGCGCCCCATCATTGGTGTCAGTGGGAGGAATAGCGCCCCATCATTGGTGTCAGTGGGAGGAATAGCGCCCCATCATTGGTGTCAGTGGGAGGAATAGCGCCCCATCATTGGTGTCAGTGGGAGGAATAGCGCCCCATCATTGGTGTCAGTGGGAGGAATAGCGCCCCATCATTGGTATCAGTGGGGAGGAATAGGCGCCCCGTCATTGGTGTCAGTGGGAGGAATAGCGCCCCGTCATTGGTGTCAGTGGGAGGAATAGCGCCCCATCATTGATGGCAGTGGGAGGAATGGGTAGAGCGCCCCATCATTGGTGTCAGTGGAAGAGGAATAGCGCCCCATCTTTGGTGTCAGTGGGAGGAATACGCCCCATCATTGGTATCAGTGGGAGGAATATGGCGCCCCATCATTGGTGTCAGTGGGAGGAATAGCGCCCCATCATTGGTGTCAGTGGGAGGAATAGCGCCACATCATTGGTGTCAGTAGGAGGAATAGCGCCCCATCATTGGTGTCCAGTGGGAGGAATAGCGCCCCATCATTGGTGTCAGTGGGGGGTGGAATAGTGCCCCATCGTTGGTGTCAGTGGGGGGATAAGTGCTCCATCATTGGTATCAGTGACACCAATGATGGGGCACTATTCCTCCCCCCACTGAAACCTATGATGGGGCACTATTCCTCCCCCCCACTGACACCAATGATGGGGCACTATTCCTCCCCCCCCACTGACACCAATGATGGGGCACTATTCCTCCCCCCCACTGACACCAATGATTGGGCACTATTCCTCCCCCCACTGACACCAATGATAAAAAGTTGGGCACTATTCCTCCCCCCACTGACACCACAATGATGGGGGCACTATTCCTCCCCCCCACTGACACCAATGATTGGGCACTATTCCTCCCCCCACTGACACCAATGACACTTGCAGACCTCTGTTATATAAGTATGGTGCTGCTGGCAGCCAGCATATGTGGTTGCAGCTGCTTTACACTCTACACGGCACACTTACCGGCCGCTCCTTCTCTCGATTTTTTTTCACGGGGGCCGCTCGGCTCCGCCCCCTCGTCGGTGATGGGCCGCCTGTGTGCCTTGCTGAGCTACAGTTCTGGTGGCCAATCACCGGTGAGGAGGTGGAGCCGAGCAGCCGCGCGAACATCCGTGGCCGAACTGAAGGAGCAGCCGCGCTTCCTGGACCGGATCGTCGTGGACCGGAGCCAGGTAAAGAAACAGCCCCTGCCCACCACTGTACTTAGTGTCCCTTCCATTGGAAGGGGGGGGGTGGTGCGGCGGCGCGCCACCCCCCTAAAAAGTGGCAGGCAGGATGCCTTATACCGGCGTATAAGACGACTCCCGACTTTTTGAGAAGATTTTTCAAAAGGGGTAAAAAGTCGTCTTATAATACGCCCGGAACGGAAAATTACGGTAATATATGAGATAGACTCATTACATGCAAAGCAAGATAGTTCAAGCCGTGATTTGTCATCATTGTGATGATTATGGCTTACAGCTCATGAAAACCCCCCAAATCCACAATCTCAGAAAATGAGAATATTACAATGCAATCAATAAAACACGGGATTGTACATAGAACAATATCAGACCTCTGAAAGTAGAAGCTGCATATGTACTCAGTACTTGGTTGGGGCCCCTTTTGCAGCAATTACTGCCTCAATGCGGCGTGGCAGGAAGCTATCAGCCTTTGGCACTGCTGAGGTGTTTTTATATATATATATATATACCGTATTTTTTGCTCCATAAGACGCACTTTTTTCCCCCCAAAAAAGGGGGGAAAATGTCAGTGCGTCTTATGGAGCGAATATAAAGCGGCCGGTCCGGTATTTCTGCCGCCACCATGTCAGAATATTGGGCCGGCCGCTCAGCTGTTCTCTCCTGCAGGACCTTACCTGTTCCTCGCTCCAGCGCTGCACAGTCTTCCCACCGCGCTGGCTTCTGTGTGTGACCCGCCGGGTGCCCACTGCGCATGTGCGAGAGGCCATTCACAAAGCGCAGTGCTTCTCGCGCATGCGCAGGTGGGCACCTGGCTGTCACAGAAGCCGGCCCTGGAAGAAGAGGGAAGGACAACTCCCGCGGAAGTGGGAGCGGGTACCTGTCAAATTCAGGTTACCCGCTCCCCCTCCCTCCCCAAAGGTCTTCAGTCTCTGGTCATTCCCTGCACTGTCCTTCAGTCTCTGGTCATTCCCTGCACTGTCTGCAGTCTCTGGTCATTCCCTGCGCCTGTGTCCGCAGTCTCTGGTCATCCTCCAGCACTGTGTCCGCAGTCTCTGGTCATCTCCTGCGCTGTGTCCGCAGTCTCTGGTCATCCCCCTGTACTGTGTCCGCAGTCTCTGGTCATCTCCTGTACTGTGTCTGCAGGTCCATTTGGTTCAGAATATTTTTTTTTCTTGTTTTTCACCTCTAAAACCTAGGTGCGTCTTATGGAGCGAAAAATACGGTATATACAGTGGGGATCGAAAGTTTGGGCACCCCAGCTAAAAATTTGTATTAATGTTGCATAAAGAAGCCAAGGAAAGATGGAAAAAAAAGATCTCCAAAAGGCATCAAATTACAGATTAGACATTCTTATAATAGTGTCAACAAAAGTTACATTTTATTTCCATCATTTACACTTTCAAAATAACAGAACAAGAAAGACGAAAAAAATGGCGTCTGCAAAAGTTTGGGCACCCTGCAGAGTTAATATCTTGTACTGCCCCCTTTGGCAAGTATCACAGCTTGTAAACGCTTTTTGTAGCCAGCCAAGAGTCTTTCAATTCTTGTTTGAGGTATCTTTGCCCATTCTTCCTTACAAAAGTCTTCCAGTTCTTTGAGATTTCTGGGCTGTCTGTCACGCACTGCTCTTTTTAGGTCTATCCATAGATTTTTCAATTATGTTGAGGTCAGGAGATTGTGAAGGCCATGGCAAAAACTTCAGTTTACGCCTCTTGATGTAATCCCCCGTGGATTTCGAGGTGTGTTTTAGGATCATTATCCATTTGTAGAAGCCATCCTCTCTTTAACTTCAGCTTTTTCACAGATGGCATCAAGTTACCATCCAAAATTTGCTGAAATTTTATTGAATCCATTTTTTCCTTCTACTCGTGAGATGTTCCCTGTGCCACTGGCTGCAACACAACCCCACAAAGCATGATTGATCCAACCCCATGCTTAACAGTTGGACAGAGGTTTCTTTTCATTAAAATTCTGTGCCCCTTCTTCTCCAAACGTACCTTTGCTCATTCCGGCCAAAAAGTTCAATTTTAACCTCATCGGTCCACAGAACTTGTTTCCAAAATGCAATCAGGCTTGTCTATATGTTCATTTGCAAAGTTCAAACAATGATTTTTGTGGTGAGGTCGTAGAAGAGGTTTTTCTTTCTGATGACTCTTCCCATGAAGACCATATTTGTACAAGTATCTCTTTATAGTGGAATAGTGACCACAACTCCCAGTGTCTGCCAGATCTTTCTGGAGGGATCGTGCAGTCAAACGTGGGGGTTTTGAATTGTTTTTCTCACAATCCTGCGAGCTGTTCTGTCTGATATTTTTCTTGGTCTTCCAGATCTTGCTTTAAACTTCCACTGTTCCTGATGACTGCCATTTCTTAATTACATTCCGAACAGAGGATATTGACATCTGAAAAACGCTTTGCTATCTTCTTATAGCCTTCTCCAGCTTTGTGAGCGTCAACTATTTTCAGTTTCAGTTTTCTAGACAACTGCTTAGAAGAACCCATGGTGCTGATTGTTGGGGCAGGGTCAGATGAGTCGGGGCATTTAAAAACCTTTGAGATTGACATCACCTGGTCTTCCCAGACGATGATTGAGAACAATCCATGACACTGGCAGGTCTCAGCTTGGCAAAAGGGGGCAGTGCATGCTATAAATTCTGCAGGGTGCCCAAACTTTTGCAGACGCCATTTTTTTGTTTTCTGTTATTTTGAAAGTGTAAATGATGGAAATAAAATCTAACTTTTGTTGACATATTATAAGAATGTCTAATCTGTAATTTGATGCCTTTTGGAGAGTTTTTTCCATCTTTCCTTGGCTTCTTTATGCACATTAAATACAAATTTGTAGCTGGGGTGCCCAAACTTTCGATCCCCACTGTGTATATATATGTGTGTGTTTATGTATGTATATATATATGTGTGTGTGGTGTTGTATGTATGTAGTATGTATGTATGTATGTATAATATATATAAATATATATATATACATATGTGATTTTGTGCTATAAGGCGGCAGGGAAGCAGTTAAAAGTCAGTGAAAAAGTAACAAAGCTTATAAAGGAAAAACAAAATGAGAAATTTCAGTGGATCATAAAGAATATTAAAGAAATAAGCCATTTCTATTTTTTTTTTTTTCCTTCCCTGAGTAAATACCCAAGCAGGGGAATAGCCTGATGGGGCCCCATTATAGTAAGTGCCGAATGTCTGCCCTTCGCCCTGCAACATAGAGCTCTGTGATCTAAGTTTTGAGGAAATAACTTGGAGTTGGGGTGGGGGGAGTCCCCGAGGCTCTCGGAGGCTTTCTACATCCTCTGTTTGCTCTCTGCTCTTTCTTCCTGGCAGAAAGGTGCTTGAAGCTCGGGGCCAATATTTATCCTCATCGGGGCCAAGAGCTCTTCACGGCACCAGGAAATTAACCCTTTCATCAACAGGAAGGGTTTAAAGCTGAACTACAGCCAAAATACAGCCCTGTAAAAAATAAATGAAACAATGAAGTGTGCGCGGTTTGCGCCCGCTGCAACAGTATGTAATACTTGAATTCGCCCGTAACGGTGCAGTCAGCACCGAGCGTCCCCAACACTGACACTCACAGATCCAGCTGGACTACACAGATCGCAGCAGGTCACTCGCTCGGCTGCTCCTCTGTTTCCTTTTTAATGCAGGCTAGCACTCTGCGATTGGAGGAGGTGGTGGCTGAATCTCATCAATCTCCCCTCCTCCAATCACTGAACACACACATTTGCACACATTTCATTAGCGTTCCTTTATTTTTTGCAGTTCAGACGCTTTTGGCCGGAAGTTTCAACTTTGGGACCCGTTGACACCTGAGTGATTTGCAGCTCGAGGAAAAAAATAAATCATTATTCTCAGTGGAGATGGTTCACATCTTCGCTCCAAGTCACCTGAAGCAAAACAAGTTCTGGAGCTTTTTTTGTCGCTCAAATTGGGCAGCTCCATTTGCACATTTTTGAGCATTTTTAATTCCATAGGAACGAATGGAAACTCCTGATTTGTGCATTTTTCGCACGTTATGTCGCATGTTTTTTTTACGCAATTTTTTTTGCTTATATTGAAAAAAAAAAAAGATGATATATGAATACATAAACCTAAAAGAAATACACAAATGCATTCAAATAATCATAAATACGATGAATAATATGTAATATTAAATAATAAATGCCTAATAATATAATAATAAAAAAATTATATTTATTTTGTGTTATGGTGTTTATTATTATTATTATTATTTTTTTTTAGGTTTAGAGGTTTAGGGGTAATTGTTTATTTCTTATTACATGTTATCTGTTGTAAGTATTTATGATTTTTCTTATTTGTGTATTTATTTTACTTTTATGTATTTATTATTATTAGTAGTAGTAGTATATTAACATCCAAAAAAAAAAAGTAATAAGACAATAAATAAAATTCTAACCCCCAATCCTAACCTTAACTCTAACCTCCTACCCTAACACAAAAAAAAAAAAAATATAATGAATAATAATAATAAAAAAAAAATAAATAGGAGCGGACAGAAAAGCTAGCAATAAATGATGCAAAAGATATAATTCTCTATTGGCTACTGAAAACAACGCGTAACACACTCATATACACTACACTCAAGTGTGAATGCAGCCTGAAACTGATTGCTTCTACTGACA